GCAGCACTGAAAGGTCATACAGATGCCGAAACGTGCTAGAAAGACCTCAAAACCCATAAACCCAACATTGGAGTATGTCAAGGTTAACAGCTGGCAGTATCTCATGCATTTTCCTTTTAAATCCTAGCTTGCATAGGATTATTTCTATGCCTGGGTTTTTTCAAGTCTGAGTCTAGGTGTTCTCAGCCTAGCTGGTGGCACTGAATGCAATTGCACCGTATTAATAAACTGGAATGTGCAAGTAATACGAAATCCTTGGCATTCTGGATTGTATTTTCCTGTTTCTGCTCCTTTGGTTTTATCGCATTGGTATTTTCATGCATGATTGGCACCCAAGCCATAGATGTATGCAGATGCCCAATTCTTCTCAACATCTTCCCAAATAAAATAAGTTCTCCCCCTCCCACTCAGCAGATGTTTTGACAACAGAAAACAGAAACCAAGAAGACCTAGAAGTAAGGTGCCAAGCCAAGGGAACGGGTAGCTACAGTATTTGCTTTGGGCAGTAAGCAGCACAAACGTCATTTGTCTAGTAGTGCAATGCTATACATGGTACAGAAGATTCTGAGAAGTCCAAAAGCTTCTCCTGGTGCTGTCAGAGAAGCTGGATGTTCTGTAGAGCTCTTGAGTTTCCTAAAACACTACGTGACCTCCCTGTCTCAGTGCTCAAGCGTCCCAACAACCATTTCACCTCCTGAGCACTTGGAAGCATTCGCATTAGCCCTTGTTTTCTTACCCAGTGTAAGAAAACATTACCCCTTGTTTGTTTTCTTACCTTTGCTATGTTTTCTTGAACAGTGAGACTTGTTCTTGGAAATACTATCACAGCCCATGCATCCCACAGTAGATACTGTCCTTAGAGGTCACAGGGACAGAATTGGCATTCCAATTCTAGAAAGCATACTCACTTCCAGAGCACTTTAGCCTTTCTCATGCACCTTCATCATGCACTTCCAGCAGCATTTCCTAGTCCTCCCTCCCAAGAGCTCTGTCTTCATAGAAGGTGGGTCATCTTCCTGAACCATTTCTCCGTGACCTATGCAGCAAGATCCTCTGGTCTTGGCATTCCACAGACCTGAACCTGTGAAGTCAAGAGTACTGATTCAAGATGACAAATGTTCAGCCCCCTCTGGGACTACATCCATCTGCTGCGAGGGCTGTCATGACCACCTCTTGAGTTTGGCCAACATACTAACCCAGATCCAAATGGGAGGTCACCAAATGGGACTCACAACTTCCTGTGAAATAGCTATCTCACAGTAAACTGGGGAGATGGTTCTAACAATTTGGGATGTGCCTAAGTAGTATAGCCACTCATGGTATACACCAGTGCTTCAGATACAACACTCAGTTAACTAATATTAAATCCCCAATCTCCAGTATTTGAGCTGCAAAAATGATATTGTTAGCTGCCTGGGACTACAGGGTTAGCCTAGTGGCTGAGGAGCAATTATATTTAGGAGTAATGACTTTTCTAAAAAACAGTGATTTCCTTGTTCCCAGGTCATCAAAAGGGAGGTCTGGCAGTTAAAGAGGCCGATAAAGAGGGATATATTGTCTGTACACATAACTGTCTTTACATCTTGTTCAATGAATTGTCAAGCTGGGACTTCCCTGAAAGCTTCTCTCTAGGTCAAAACAAACCCTGTTCTTTCAATTTCTTACAGCCATAGAGGTCTGCTTTTTGAGAGACCTTGTAAGGTTAGCTAAGCTGTGTGCCAAGGAGACTCATGTCTGGAGATGGATATGCAGCTATTGCATTCATTTATTTTTAATCATGCTTGAATCACCAGCAGATCTCCTGATACTCTACAGGTACAAAAAGTGTCAACAGTTCCTAGTGCCTATTACCTGCTTTGGGATGGTTATTCACCTTTCACACTGACTGAGCTTTGAATGAAAAAACACAGTAGAGTATACACAGAAGTGTAGTCTGCATGTACTAGAAATGCCTATAATCTGGACAGCTATTTCTTCTTAGTAAGACAGCTTTCATGTTTGCTGTTACTGATAAAAAGCAAGTAATTATCTCCCCCAAATCACCAGTTAAAAAAAAAAAAAAAATCCATTCTTGATTTTTCAACTGCTGATTTTTCAGAGTTCATGATTTCTCTGAAGCCCTAGGCATTAGGATTCTGTTGTTAATTTAAATAAAACAGAAAGACTATTTCAATATAGGACTCTTAGTATATAAGAAACACAAAAGAAACAGAGCATGAGAAACAGAAGAGATCAGTAGAAAAAGAGACAACTAGTAAGGCAAGACTCACAGGAAGACTACGACATTTACATATCCTGACGGAACACAGATATTTATGGTTTCCATCTTTTCACAGAATCTTCCCTGGAGAGGACTACAGAAAGTAAGAAAGCAGCAGTGACAACTGATAAGTCTTGTTTCCATCCTGAAGTTCCTGTCTTCTGTTGAGCAAGTAACCCTTAGCAGTTTTAGCAGATTAGCAGTGACGGTAGGGCAGGTAGTCCATTATCTGGTTTTGGCATAATTTTGTGTTGTTAATTCAGTCTTCATATAGCTACAAGCAAACCTTTTCCTCATGTAGATAAGCAGCAATAAGAAGAAAACAGAAGTCCCAAAAGACATAGAGGATTAAAACACTATTAATGTTTATCCTCCATAAAAGGAGTCAAGAATCATCAAATACAAAGTTGCAGACACGTAATTATGCTTAAGAAAAAGCATAGATTACCAGAAGCAGGTAGAGCATAGGGTGCAAAGGATCACTACGTAACTTCCTTACATAGACTTTCCAAGACTTCCCACCAGACATATGGTGTTGCTAGAGACAGGATATTAAGCCAGATGGACTTTTCATCTAATACATATTCCAATTTTGTCATCGTTTTTGGTGAAACTTAACAATATGCCCAACACAAAGCAAAGCACGAACAGTCCTGAATAAAGTATTTGGAACAGAAAATCTCGTGGAGGTGTAGTTTACTCTCTGTTTTGTACTAGCTTTTCTCATGAAGTTTTAAATAATTACCTAGATGTAGTCACTGGTGACAGTCTGAGTGAGGGATACTTTCCAGTGAAGTCAGGCATCAGCAGTCTTTGTGTACAAATCAGATGTTGCACTGCAATTGGTATCACTAGGTGGGCTGCAAATACCACAACAAACACCTGAGTTGACTTGGAAGGTGGCAGTATGGTTCAGTGTTGAGACTCAGTGGGTTTTTTGGTCTCTTCACTGAAATTGCCAAGAAATAAAACCTAAAAAAATAGTACTGACCGTGGTGAGGAGCTTCTTGGGACAGAGAGTGCATGGAGCCCACTCCAAGCTCACTCTTTAAGCAGATCATCTTCACTGTCTTGATACTAGACCTAGATTTAGGTTGGCAGCATTGTGCTGGAAGTCTCCATGATGTATTGTCACAGCACAACTCTGTTATTTATGTCTCTGGCACTTGAATGCTTCTTCCACTCTCCCAGGCAGGAACGTTTCCCTCTGTGCCCACAGTTGGGGCACAGCATGCACTATGGCCAGCTCCAGATGGAAGCACACCCTACATTGCGTGTCCCATGGTCATCCAGACCAGAACACCTTGAAAAACATGCCAAGACACCCTCTGTGCCCACAGCTTTGCGCTTACCTGCAGGTCTGGTTTGCAACACAGGGACCAGATCAGCAGAGCACAATGTGGAAAGAACCTGCCCACTTTCCAAATAAAAATTACCAGAAATAAAGTATATTTGTAGCTTCCAGGACATCAAAATACCATCCAAAAGACCTTTTTCTGTTCCTTTTCAGACTGATCTAGATGACTGTGCATTTACATCCTACCTCTGTTACTCTTAAAAAAGCTGGGAATACTCTTATCCATGAGGTCACTGAAGAGGAGTGGGAAAGGTCTTTTGTATGGCTTTGTGTTGCCCTACACTCTGTTTGGCGTAGATGGTAATGCAGAGAGACAGATGGACCGGCAGAACACCTCTTTGCTTGGTCTTTGCAAAGCAGAGCATGGCTATGGTGAGATCATCTTTGTGAAGACGATGAGCTTCATGGGAAGCAGACAGAACATAACTACTTGAGCCTTAGCTTTATTTGGCTTCCTGTGTTCTGAAAGTTTGACCGTTTAGAGGCTGGTACATTGCTGAAGGCTTTACAATTAGTGTGGGCTTGGCAACACTCAGCCATCTCAAGGAAGTGTTTTGCATAGTAGAGAACACTGCCTGACACCTCCACTGTAATTTGAGAATTTCCCCACGAGTCACTAAACTCCAAAGACAAACAGGGTACTTGAGAAACAGAGGTCTGTGAAGCTTGTGAACATCCAGGCTACTCAGGGCTTTAATACCAAAGGTGGAGTCAGTTGTCGAAAGGAAAGGACACAGAGCTACAAAAATCGTCTGTATGTGTATAGCCTGGTAATCAAGCTTACAGCCTGGGCTATGCTGAGGGGTATTCTTCCTCCGTCTCACTGCCAAGGGAGACTTTTTGGTGTCCACAACACTTCAGTCCCTAGTTTCTCTGTGGAGAGTGGCAGCAAAGAGAGCAGTGGTCTGTGGTATAGTGTCTAGGCTTCTGTAAATGAAATGGTGGTGCTACCCTGCTGCAGAAGACTAAATCTCATCCTTCAGGAGTCAATAAAAGACATTCTGCTGAAACAAATCCAGACTGTGGGTCCTTCGCTGGCTGCCTGGGTCCCTGAAGTGGATCCTAGCAAGCCTAGAGCTACTCATGACACTTCCTGAAATATTGACTAACATCCAATTAAACACCTGGATTTGGGGGTTCAGGGTGTCTCAAGGGAAGAGTTTTTGACATTTGAAGAAAATCCTGAGTACACAAACAGGCTAATGAGTCACCTGATAAGTCTTTTCAAACTTTTTCTGTGATGTGGAAAGCTGACTGCAGGAAAACATCAGAGGCAGGTCTCTGAATGCTCAGAATTTCTGAAAAGCTGTTCACACATAAGGCCAAGATACCAGATGTGAAGGAGGCAAGTGACTCTGCTAATCTGTAATTTCATCTCCTCAGCTCCACCACCCATCCCAAGGGTTTCGGTTTGGAACCGTGAGAGAAAGCAGCGCAGAAGACTATGTGAGGCAAAGCTTCCCAGAGATGCATGAGTACATGCGACGGTACAATGTTCCTGCAACCCCAGATGGAGTGGCATATCTAAAGTGAGACTCTGGATGCAACAGCAGATCTGGTCCCTTGACCGGAATGCGTGGCAGTGAGATGGTGATGGGTTTCCCACTTTCGGTGTCATTTATCCCACAAAACAGTCATTGAAGGGTCTGTGGCAGATAGAGGAGAAAACACATAATCACCTGGAGGGAGCAATACTTGGAGAGCAAACTGGCATAGCACCAGCTGGAGTGTTCCCAGGAGAGGCAGCGCTTCACCTTAACTACTAGGCTGCCATCAAGCATGGGCAGCGTATAAATCCTGACAGGTTTCTGGGCTTGGGAGCCCTTCATCATGCAGTGAGAAACATTCAGAAAAAAAAAATGGCAGTCCAAGCAAAAGCTGTGAATGAGGTTCATCAGCCTCTTCAGCATGCTGGGAAGAGAGAAGGTTCTCAGAGGGAAACCTTAAAGCATTTATCATTAAAATTAATAAAAGAAGCATTTGACTGGTAAAATGTAATAAACACCAAGTCTTTTTGCTTTAGGGAATCATGGTATATCACTGTGTTTCAGAGACATTTATGCCTAACAGTCCGGGGTCATGCTCTGCCAGGAAACAGGAGAGGTGATAATAAGCCTGAAATAATTCATCCATTTTACACATAGAAGTTGCATAACAGATGGCCTGAGAATTTTTCACCAGAAGTTGTTTCCTGTTTACATATTTTTCCCAGACCAATCCTAATGATAATTAAGATACATGGCAATTACTTTGAGTTAAACTGGAATCAATCCATCGAAATCAATGACGTAATGTAACTTCACATCAGGAGAACACCTGGACCTTTAGGGTGACAAGAGTGGAGGGTGCAGTCCCTAGATCAGATGAGAACAGGCAGTGGAACTGTTCTTTTATATCAGCATTTTATGTAAGCATGCTATTCATAAGTGATTATGTTAGTAAAATTCAGTCCTCTGTGTTCATGAAGACTGAACATAGAGAAAAGCTTGATTGGGTGAAGGAAATCAATTTACCTCATATTCAAGGAGCAAGAAGGAGAAACACCTTTGTATGAGTTACCCACCTGCATTTTTGCTCTAATGACCGTAACTTTAACATCACAAAGAAACCAAGATAGCCCTAGTATTTTAGTAGTTTTTGTTCTTTTCCAACAAAGATTTGTGCTACCTTTCAGTTGAGTCAAAGTCTCACATATTGTAGTATTTTCCATCTTTCAGATCACCAGTATTTCACGGGAGCAAAATAAGTCCTATGCCTGTTTTCCTGCTCTAGATGCACAAAGCTTACATTTCATGCACAATTCCCTTCTTCAAAATGTAAATCAGGTTTGCATTTAAAATAGCAGTCTCTGGTCTCTGTTTTCATTCAGCAGTCTTCCAGAGAACTGCACAGATAAATATTCAGTGAGCATCACTGAGTCTTAGACTGTGAAGTGATTCTGTTTCTGACTTTGATGCTGAATACAGGCATGATCCGGAGAAACTCGATGCCTTCATCATGGATAAAGCTCTCTTAGATTATGAAGTATCAATAGATGCAGACTGCAAGCTTCTAACTGTGGGAAAACCCTTTGCCATTGAAGGTAATAATCTGTTTTATAACATACTGCTCTATTTCTCATGTGTTGCATTTGCTTTATTGTGATTTGGTATTCTCGGTGAAGGCATGCAGATGAAACTGTGGACCCCTTGAAGATTATGGTCAAATTCTCAGTGATTAAGCAGAACAAAAGTTTCACCCTTTTTTCTGGTTTTTGAGCTTTCAGGTCACTTGTACCATCTGTTGCCATGCTCTATATAGGAATTATTCAAAGTGGTCAGACAGTCCATCTCCAAACAAGTAGGTTTCACAGTGCATTTCACTGCTCACAATGAGGTAAAGTAGCTCCTGAAATGAGGCTTGCTTTTTGTAGGCTCACTTTCATTATACATGTTCAAAATCCAGTGAAAAGTGTTCAAAATTCCGTTCTACAGTTTCACTCTCATCTGAAGCAGATAAATACTGTTTCCGTTTTAAAGGTCAGCTTAAGATTCCCTCTGACTCTGTAGCTAATTGAAGCTAAAGAAGGGAGCGTACCCTGGTATGTAGCCTCCTGCAGCCCTGATGTATTTATTATTAGCAAGAACAGATCGGAAGGCAGCCTGAAAGCAAGGCTGGTCTGAAGCTGCCTCCAGCACAGGTGAGCACATTAGCAGCTATTGGACTTCAGGTATCACTTTTGTGATAGATGGCCAGTGAATATGATTGAATCTCCTTCTTTCCTCGCCTCCAAGGGCAATCACTCTGGCCGCTCCCATCACGCATTAAAACAACCTCCTTCAGAAATGTTCAAATCTGATTGAGGAAGGCAGTATCCTAAATGAAGGCCAGAGGAAGGTGAGCGTTTTAATTATTTCAGCTACAGGTCACCAGCACTAGGCATTTTGCAGAACGCCCCTTTTTGCTATACTTCAACAGTGTCTCCCATTTGAATTCACACGAGAGACCTGAAAGCAATCCATTTTCTTCTTTTTTTTCCGTTATCAGGAAGGATGGATACGCAGAGAGCTGCTCAGGCTGTAGCAGGATTTGTGTGTGTGCAGCTGCATGTTTCACCATGCATGTGCAATCTGATAAATATTCCGTTTCAGAAAGGTCATCTCTACTGAAGTAAACCAGCAGCTTCCACAACTTTGAATCAAGTAAAGCAAATTTTAATACAGAAAAAACAAACCCCAAACTAAATGTTTTTGCGTAACTGGACTTCATATCACCTAATTACAAAACACTTCAATATGCTGAAAATGTGGTATTCATGAACCCTAGCTATGCCTTCTCTGAAACCATTCCTTCAATGTTAGAAAATATATTCAGGTGGAAATACAAGGACAATGTACAAAAATCAGCAGGACAGGAGATTATTGTGTTGTAGGTACACATATCACCATATCACTCTGCGTCATTGAAAAGCAAGCTACTGTGATGAAATTTACCACTCATGTACATACATGGGTTTTTTCTTTCTTCCTGTGCTGTTTTCTTTTTAAAGGAAACAGTCTAAAATTCTGAATTGGGAACTGAAAAACAAAAATCCACAGTGGACTGGAAAGGAATCTCTGCAGAAAACTGGCAGGATATCTTTGCATGCAACTGCATGTCTTCCAGGGATTAATCATATTTGTTTTTCTAAAGTCAAAAAACAGATTCTGCAAATTGAAAAACCATATTTAGAGTTACTGAATCTATTTTCACTTACACTGTCCTTTACCAGCATTTTAACGTGCTAAAAGATGACACAGCAGCTAAAAGCTGTGTTTAATACTATCTGAAGGACCATGTCACTGCCAGAGCAGAACTGCACAAACAGAAGGCATAGCCCCTGGGCTTTAAATTATTGTGTGACAACAATTCAGACTGCTTCCGTATACGTTTACATGCACACAGCTCCTCATCAGAAAATACATAGGAAGAAAATGTCACATCTGACACTACAGTCACATCCACTGATCTAAATGTGTAAGAGGATTACAGAATGGTTTACTTGACATTAAGGCCCTTTTGCATTGCTAAAACAAGGAAAAAGAAGAACCCATGGCAAGGGCATGCAAACAGCTGTGTTTCTAGAGACAGGACAGATGTGTTCGTCTATCTGTACCTCAAGTTTTTGAGCCTCCAATCTTACATACTACTTTTGTGGCGTTAATAATTTTGAATTTGCATATCTTGTTTGTATTGGGCTACTTTATTTTGCACAGCAAAAAGTCTTATCACAGCATTCTCAGTCCATAGTAAGCCAGCATCCAGGTTTGAACTGGCTTGCTGAAACAGAATGCCAGCTTGATCTGCCATGCTGGTAGTTGATAGCTGAAGTAAAAATACTTTAGCAAAAAGCAAACAAGTAAGAGAGAGGTGATTGTACTGTTTTTCCTTCTAGGATATGGTATTGGTCTTCCCCCCAACTCTCCGCTCACCTCAAACATCTCTGAACTGATAAGCCAGTACAAGTCCCACGGTTTCATGGATGTTCTGCACGACAAGTGGTACAAGGTTGTTCCATGTGGGAAAAGAAGTTTTGCTGTTACAGAGGTAAGTGATGAATTTGGGTCACATAAGTGAGGATTTGCTCAAGTTGCCAGTTATCTTCCCTTATTCACGATGTGCAGTAGACAACACACATGACAGAGAATGGGCTGCAGCTGAAGGGAAACATTAGGGTTCAAAAGCAAGAGATGCTAAGCCCAGCAGCATTCAGATCAGAGCACAAGAAAAACATCAGCAAGACTGTGCTGCTAAGTTAGGCATGCAGTGCATGCATCAGAGAGCACTTCTGGAGGCAAACGGGGAGTGTAATGTAGCATTAAAAAAAGCGATCTGGCACACTGCACAACAAATCTGTCTGATTCCACTCCATTATGTGTATCACCAGCTACAAGATCCACCAGTGATTTTGGACCATCTCACATGGGGGCGATAGCTAAGATAGCTAATACAGAAACCAACAAGAGCAAAAGAAACAGAGAGAGTGGGAATTTAGTACATCCCAAATTTCTAATATAACCCTGACTGCTTCCTAACAGGGGTGGCAGCTACTTGTATCAAAGATAGGACTTCAGCCTAGAAACAGTCCACTAAGATACCATGTTCAGAAGAGAAGCAGGTCTTGCATACAAGTAGATGTATAGGAAATAGAAGTAAATCTCGATGGATTTACATCCTGGTATTAAATCAGAGTTATGCCAGCTTGTGGCAGCAGAAGATGTAGGCCATTATTTATAATAAAAGACGACTCTTATCAGAATAGCAGTTTTTCATCAAGTTCCCTAGACTGTCAAGTAGAACAAGATAAAGTACTGGAATCAAAAGATCCAGCATGCCTGAAGCTTAGAGTATATACTTTTAGCTCAAGGTCTTCCAAAAGACATAGGTTACGTATTCTCACTGGTACAAAACACACAGCCAGAAGTACGATATCTCCTTCTCAGAGAATTCAGCCAAAATTCAACCAACCCTACATATTCCCTGAGAAAGTGGTAGCATGGCCATTCTCCCTTAACAGAGAGGTCCAGTTTCCTAGGGCTCTGACTCACACTGTTCAATGGTCACCTGGGCATCTTGTCTGCTAACCTCTGACTGCTGACTAAATCACTAGCATTTTTTGGAGCTAAAATGAAAATCTTTATTTTAATGCATAAATTGCTGGAGTATTTCTGCATGTCTTACTACATTTTTTACTTTTTCATTAAGATTGTGTCAATATGAAATAAATGATATTTTAACATCAGGCATTTGTAGAAGAAAATTCAATTTATTTTTATAAATGGAACTCAATTCCATTTTCCTTTTTTTTGTGATTAAGTCAACACCAGAAAGCACATTTAAACAACTGTGTGTATTCACTGCTATTTCTGATCTAGCTTATCTGAAGATTATATTATCATCTAACAAGACATGTATATGGGGCATTTTCTTTTTAATGCAGCTGACATGCCTGTTCCTTACAAGCACTTACTCAATGCCCTCTTGTTACTCTGCATTTTAACATAATCTTTTGAATTAAATCTCATGAAAATTACCAGACGGTAATGGTATTGATTATGACAACTGTCTTAAAACTGAAAGCTCTTATAAGCAGAGACAAACACCCTCTTAGTAATTCCCAAGTGATGAGACATAAGGAGCTTCCTGTGATCATAAGAATGTTACTCCAGTAGCTGTATCCAGGGCTGTGTTCTCTGTATTCTTAGAGAAATAGCTAAGCCAGAAAATCAATTCTAAACACTTTCCAGTTAAAAAAATATGGTTTTATTTAGTACTGTTTTTCTCCCAGAATATGTATTTGCTCCTTTAAGCCAGTGGTTTCTAGAGTGGGGAGCGTACAGCCCTTGGGGGTCTGTGAGATGATCCACTGGGTTGCAGGAAGAACTTAAGTAATATGTATATATATTAAAAAATTATAAATAAATATACATATATAGGGGTACATACTCAAAAAGATATTGATAGAGTTGCATGACCAAAAAATGTTTGGAGACCACTGGTCTAAGCCTTAGGATCTCAAGACTGTCTCTAGAAACAGGAAGTTAGGCAATCAGAAAAAGCCAGCAGAAACAACAGACCTCTTGTAAGTGTGCTAAGTCCAGATCTTCCTTTTCCTGAACTTTCCTACTTCTACTGCATTTCCCATGAGCATCCCCTCCTCCTCATCCATTCCTCTTGGCCAAGAACTTGCAGATTTAGAACTTGCAATTTCAAAGCTGAGACAAATTTACTAAACTAAACAGGCCCAAGCAGCAGACACTCTCTAAAGCATAGCTTCCCCATCATTACATCAAGAAGCATGGAAATTATTCCTAGTCTTATCTTTATGTCAGTTTGTATTCTTTACTCCTGTACAGCCAAGCATCTACATTGTTGAACTCCATGCAGTCAGTCACAGTAAAATTCAACAGATTTGCTGAATTGTGGACAATGTTCAACACAGAAGCAGATTAATTCATTTTCAAAAAAGTCTCAGCTTGTAAGTGGATAGATGGATTCACATGGATTATATACGAAACTAAGACCCAGCAATTGCCTTCTGATAGCTAGAGTAAGGCTTTGTATTTTTGTGCATCTTTTTGATAAATTTGGTCTGTGACACACTGCACCTGTTGTCCAAGAGTAATGCCCCCAAAATGGGAGTATACGTAGGTGAAATATTGATCAGTATAGTCTTTAAATGGGTGTCTTTTATTCTTTAGGCTGTACCAAATTCTTACACACTTGCCACTCCTGCCCACCAAGGTTATTTTTTCTTTAGATTTGTTTTGAGATTCGTCTTCCTACTCATCTTTTTTTTTTTAATTTTACACGAGAAAATTATATTTCTTGTGGCAGACCTCATTGCTAGCTTTTTCCACTTCTCTTAGCAGCACTTTGCTCATTCTAAATTGCATCTGAAAACAAAGTTGTCTCAGAAAGGCATGATCCATACTGGGGCTGAAGAATTTGCAGTGACTCCTCAAGCTGAGAAACCAAATACAGATGAGTTTGAAAGTGCAGAAGTCAATAGGGCTTGACTCCACTGTTTTGTATGAACCTCTTCAGCAAAAGCACTTGCCCAAGGCATCTGACTGTGGCCAGCAGCTGTTGGATCATTCATGGGGAAGGCAGCTAACTCAAACTTGGAATGAATTGCTGCAGTGCATCTTACCCTCTCCACCACAAGCAGTTGTTGGTATCAGTGGCTGTTCACGCTGATTGCTAGTCGCTAACAATATCGCTTGAGTGCTCTTAATTTAAAAGCGTCTCAAAGGAATGTCTGTTGTAAATTTGCTAAGTCCCTACTTAGGGCAAAGCATGGTGCAGGAGAGAAGTGCATTAGCAGGGTTACATTTGCACATATTATATCTGGACATAATCAATGTCATTTGTTTCAATTTGCATGCAATACACTTCCCCTTTCCTCTAGCCTACTGTTACTCTCATTAATGCAAATTCAGCAGAAGCCAGGCTCCTAGGACTTTCCACTCCAGCACATTAGCTCCACCCAAGTTTAGGAGAGACTGCAGATTCTTTCTTCCTGCAGCATTTTTGGGAACCAAAATACAGTGAGTTGGCAGGTTTGCAACTTTCTGCTCATGATAGCGAAACAGCTATGGCACTAAGCCACTATGACAGCAGGCAGGGTGGATGGCCTGAACAGGCAAGTGCCTGTCAATTAGCAGCAGTTTTGGCTGTTCGGACCAGGCAGTAATGATCAGGGAAGGGTGTGGAGGAGATGAGCTGGCACATCACGGTTTCTCAAAACAGTGTGAAAAAGAAGGGCCCCTCCTGGTCCAGGCAGTAGTCTGGATACTGTGCATACAGATCGTTTCATAGCTTTTAAGTTACATTTTAAAAGATGCTATTGTTGAAACTACATCTTCTATTTCACTTGGAAGGTTTATATATTTTCTATTTGCAATTGTCGCAGGACAACTGAAGGTCTAGAATTTCACAGAATCACGTGGAATCACAGAGTGGTTGGAGTTGGAAGGGACCTCTGGAGATCATCTGGTCCAACTCCCCCGCCAAAGCAGGTTAGCCTAGAGCAGGTCACACA